CCTTTGTATGATAAGCAAAATATTGTTGTTCTGCCGTCTTACCAAAAAAAAAAAAAAAACTGTGCGTGGATCTCAGCTCCTCGAAAGCCTCATAAAAGAGGGGCGCTAATGGTGGTGCTGTTAGGCAAGGTACAGTGACAAGTCTTTTGTGTTGATTATTGGAAGCTAGGTCATCAGTAGGGCAATCTATTCCTCCATTATACGCTTATTCGTTTCACTGATAAGCTGATATAGCGCATATCAGAAACCGAAAAAGAGAAAAACCGGTTAATAGCTTTTTTATAAGCAACCCTCGGAAGAAAGAACCATCAACATCTTTACCAGCGGTTGTTTGTTGGCTGGCCTGTGCTACCAATTCGCCTACTTCGGGTAAAATAACGCGGGTTTTGCTTACTACGTGTTTCGACTTTTGCTATAACCCAGGCTTACCGGGGGTAAAACGTTTTACCAAATTTAACAAGCTAACCAATTGATGGCGCTCGCCTTCTTATCGACGCAATAATTACCAGATAATGACAATATCTCCATTTCTGGGTATTTCTTTTTAAGATGAGACAGAACGCAATTTACACCTCTGCAATATCCGATATATTAGAATGAACTAAAGAACAATAACACCTAAGCAGCAAGAGCATCCGGATGCAAAGACGGAAATTATGTTAGCATCTTTTTAAGGGGAAGTGTGTAGAAACCGGTAATAAATATTTGAAAACATAGAAAGAAAGAGAGATTGTCTAAATCCAACGAAAGAAATTAAAAATAAAAGTTGATTATCTTGGATTAGCTGGAATTCATAGATCGGTTTACCGACTAAGCAACGGGCAAGGCAGTTGGCTGGCAAATTTGATATTTGCTTCGTCGCCTAAAGGGATCACCGACTCGACAATCTTTCTGATAGAAGTACAAGGGAAGTTTTTGTGTGTGTGTGTCTGTGTATGGGTGTGTGTGTGTCTGTGTGTGGGTGTGTGTGTGCGTCTGTGCGTGGGTTGTGTGTGTTCAACGCCATCACCTTATCCCAAACGTTGCCACTCCTAGGCCACAATGAGACAGATTAGCGGCTGGGAGAGAACAGATATTGCATAAAAATAAACTGCAAAAAAATTTAAATTATATGTAAAAAAAA